CTTATACCTTGGGACCTATTCTCCACTGGCTTAACCTTTTAGCATTTGAACCCCTCAGACAGGACACGGTAGCGTGCAGGACACCTTTCCGTCCGCCCTACCATTTAACTACTCAATTTTGCAATGAAGATTTCTTGTTGACAAATAGTTCATACATCACCTAGTACATGAAAAACGAGAGAACCAGCTGGGTTCCAGGTGTGTCTGCCATCAAAACGAAATTCAAATGTAAATCAATCGGTTTACTCATTTATAGAATGAGATGTGCTCATATTGGCCGTTCATCGATGACCCCCAATAGGTCGATTTCGAGCGCTAGACGAAAATCGACGCTTGAGCACAGCTCAATCAGGAATATGATGTGAATACTAACCAGTTCAGTTCAGTTCAGTTCAGTTCAGTTCAGTTCAGTTCAGTTCAGTTCAGTTCAGTTCAGTTCAGTTCAGTTCAGTTCAGTTCAGTTCAGTTCAGTTCAGTTCAGTTCAGTTCAGTTCAGTTCAGTTCAGTTCAGTTCAGTTCAGTTCAGTTCAGTTCAGTTCAGTTCAGTTCAGTTCAGTTCAGTTCAGTTCAGTTCAGTTCAGTTCAGTTCAGTTCAGTTCAGTTCAGTTCAGTTCAGTTCAGTTCAGTTCAGTTCAGTTCAGTTCAGTTCAGTTCAGTTCAGTTCAGTTCAGTTCAGTTCAGTTCAGTTCAGTTCAGTTCAGTTCGTTTCATGTCATCACGGAAGCAGCATTTGGTTCAACCAGGGAGTATGGCAAAGACTTTTGGTTGTTTCACCGTTTTATTTCTGAATTTGGTGACAATTTCAATCGAAATCCATCGTCAACTACGTAAGGTGGAGGTTTGTGGTGGTTCTTGCCAATTCTCTTTGTACGCGCGTGTCACTTATGGGTGAGAGTGAAAACATCATAAACGAGAGATCCAACTGGATTCCCGCAAAAACAAATTCGTCTGCAGAAAAGTGTATTTCGTTAATTTCAAGCAATTTCGGTTCACATGGCATTTATGGTTGAAGGAAAACCGGGGACTTAGCCGATCTGATGGATGAAACCGGTTGCGGGCTGTCAAGTAATTTTCAGGAACCTCATGAGTAGTATATTACTGTCTATATAGGTATCGCGATGTCTCGAAAACCGTACCAACTGAAGCATGAGACGGCCTCGTGCAGCGCATTCAGTTGTTTGGGAAACACCATAAACGAGAGATTCAGCTGGGTTTCAAGTGAGTCTCTAGTCAAAACTAAATTGGTGTGCAAATGAGTGTATTATTATAAAGAGAGCACATGTTGGCTACAGCTATACCTGACGATATTTTCTTCGCTAAAAGCTTGGAATGGTTACTCAATCTTTTCAATTCATTCGAACGGCATTTTGATGCGCAATTGAACTTTGGATGTTGGATATATATGAAGAAAAAAAGAAATCACGTAGCCAGACACATTACGTAAACACATTTGGGCTGAATGGTACACACATTCTGTGGCCTTTTCGCGCTATGATAAATGGGATATTTTATCGAATACTTGATTGAAGCAGCAATCATTGTGTAAGCTTGAATAAAGGACTACATGGAAGCAGAATGAGTGTGTATTTTCACCGAGTGACTACTTAATTGATTGCTAAGCACAAAGATAGAATCCGTAAAACCAATACACAAAGAGAGAGAACCACTCAGGGAAATCAAAACATAACTGTCTAGTCCTTCATACGGGAAATAGGTATCAAAAAGCTGAGTTGATCGGTTGACCTTTCAAGGGTATTCCGCCGTTAGCAGATAAAACTTCCTTGAGAATCAACCAACCGCATGTTTCTATGCGATTCACTGCGATCTCATATCACAAAACGTTTAGTATGTTTGTACTGCATGGGTCAAAAGATATCATGAGAGAAGGACACGGCAGATAATGAACCCACAGCTGTTAGCACAACCCCACAACTGCGGCTCTCTTTGATGTAGGATGAGGTCACGTGATAAGACGAAAACAGGAAGAGGGAACGTCGTGACAAAAGCGTGTTTTCTGTGACTCTGGAACTCTGAGTCTGAAAGGCCCCTGAACCTGTGTTGACCGGCGGAAAGTCTGACCCCATGAATTGGTCAGACACACGTGAATCCGTGACTCATTGACCCATGCATTTGTTCCAGCTCTCTTCCTGTTATCTCTTTGAAAAGTACGTGTTAAAGCTTTTCACATAACCGCTGCGCGAGATTTCTCTGGCGTTGCATCATCATCATCATCATCATCATCAACAGAATTACATCCGTACTCAGGACTGATGGTCGCTGCCGTACAATCGCGACTTATTTTGAAGAAAGGAATAAAAGTGGACTGGAAAAGACAAGCCTATCACAGTAATGCCCAAGTGCCCACACCTCCTGGACACTCATACAGACAATCTGGATAAAAACTGACGACAAGAACGGGACTAATGTCGATGAGCACCCGTAGCTTAGAGCTTTCCCAACCAAGTACAGTGAGGACCAAGCGGTCCCCATCCTACCGAATGCACAGCCCAGACGGTTTCATACCCCTTGGAGAGTTTGTGATATACTAACTAAAAGGATAAGAATAACAAGAAAGATTAACACTGGAAAGAGCATATTTTTGGACCGTTCAATGGTATTGGTCAATTCCCAAGTGCACGTATTTCAGTAATAACTGGGCTCAAACGAACGCAAAAGAAATGGCTGACCGAAGTACCGATTCCGCTCAATCAAGTCGATCAGAACCACAACATGGTGTAACTGACAAGGTGTTAGCCCGTTTTCGTTCAAAAGTCGTCTATGAATTTGAATGCTCGCAAGCGCAGTGAAAAATGTAGACTGAATGTCACCGCAATTTCCAACCACGGCGACCCCACTCAACCACTTACACCTCTGTTTCCCAACTAGATATCACAGGATTCAGCGAGATGGCACAAGTTTTGTGAGCGCAGCTGTGTCCACTCAAAAGCCCATCTTGCATAGCAGTAATGTATGAATACCCTCATCCCTGTAAATATCTTCGTGTGATAATCTTTTATCCTCATTCTGTGGCAGCTGTTCTCCTATCTCGACAACTGAACCGCAGATGATTCGTTTTTATTGAGCAAACACCGCGACAGTGTTGCATTATCTGGTACTTTTATTTGCATAGTTTAGCTGAGAGCAGCCTATATCTCCAATCTGCTTGGTTGAAGAAGATCCGGGTGCTCTGGACGCTTATTCGTCCGTTCTAGATCACCACTGAGCAGTGGTGATGTCACATTCGATAAAATAAACGCTAGCAACCGCCGTAGGCAAAGTGAATTCGTGAAGTGGATCAACGTGAACCAAGAGTGTCTCACCTGCTCCAAAAACAACATAACTAAAGTCAAATCAGTTCCCAAACTATGTCAAAAGTAAAATGACCGTACGTCTGCCTTCGGTGCAGACCTCTGAAAGCTGAACGCATTTCGGAAGCCACTCAGCACCTTCTTCGAATAATTATTGCTTAAGAAACCTTCGTTGCTACCATGGAGGCGGAGAGTTAATAAGGTTCTCAACTGTGGGTCAACGTCATACCCAAAAAAAACAAGCTGATAATGGTTTCCAGGGTTTATGAATATGTACTTTAAAATTCTGGATGCCATTTGAATGGCTGATCACTTCTCACACACGTGAAGCCAGTCGACATCTGGAAATTTGCGTCCGGACCCTTTTTATTGAACAGCTGAACGTATAACCTTGAGAGAAACTATACGGATCTTCTGTCCATATTACGATTCCAAATGGAATGAATTTGGTTTCCGAAACCCGTTAAGGTGCGTAGTATTGCAAATATTTTCCCACGTGTGACCGCTTTCAGCTTTTAATTTATCTTCCTCGCCTCCCAGATAGCTTCCGTCCAGATTTCTCATTGTAAGCTCCTCAGTGCAGACACGCCAATGACTACACTTTGCGGACGAGTAATTTCTGTTGCTTCAGACCACTGATTCTCAAGTATTCCGCACCGTACATCCCTTCTACCATAACTTAAACTGTTAATATCGAAAACCATCATCCCAAAGCGCAAAAAACACCACTTTTGAGTAAAGATAAGAAGTAAGTGTACTTGTAAGAGGTTCACGATGAATGAGTATGGCATGAAATGCCTCGAGGACCGCGGAACCTACAGTGAATTAGGCTTCACCATGTACTTAAAAATCTCTCCATTGCTCTTCTTTTGTTGAGCATGGAAGTGCTCACCAATCAAGCAAATCGAATTGTCTATGAAGGTTTTCTCCTTGAACTGAAGCCGGCCTTTCCTGGGAAGCCGAGGAACATTGTACAAATTTTTCGTCCTGTCTGAAAGACATCAGAAGAGCGCAACTTCGACACACCAGTAGAGTGTTTCGAACTCGCCACCTTTCGACCGAAACACTTGACTGTTTTGGCCACGATCGATCGATCAACAGATTGATCAGTTCTCAGTTTGAACAAAACTGAGCGACGCTAACCCTTCAATCAAGGGAACCACATCACGCGATCACGTGTTGATATGCTCCTCGTGTGAGCACGTCCCAGAAGTCGTGATCGAAGAATGTCTTGTTCTGTCTACGTGCGAGCTAATCACACTGTGGATTAGCCGCTTCAGGCCGAACTATTTAATCTTCGAGTACTTAACGGGAAGTTGAGAGTTCGATTCTATCCCTGGAGGCCTGTTCGATGCGCACTGACGAGGATTCCAAACAAGGATGACGAAACATGTGAACAGTGCTTATCAACCTTTCAGGAGATATTAAATTCCCTTCCAAGGCATTTGCAGGGACTGATTTTAAACACATTTGGCTAGTTTTGTCACGATACGCCCGTTTTCACGGTCATTCAAACATGAATTAACAGGGAAGCATGATGACACGAAAACGTCAACCTGTCAGGACGCGTTCAGACATGAAAAACAGCACATGCGCAGAGAGTGACGCATCCCCAAGGTCACCATCAGTACGACACGTCCGGAACGTAGGTGAGTTGGCGGCTCTCATCAAACACGGCTTAGCAACATGCGACCAGCGGAGTGGGCCTGAAGGTGTTCACGACCGGAACACCACCATAAGCTGTACAGAACGGACAAGTGAACGACCATATTTGGCCATTTAGTCATCCTATATCTTTACGCAGACGCTCTGTATGTTTTGTCCTGACAATACAGCCGTGTCCCGAGTTCTCTGTCTTCTCCTTATCGCGTAGTCTGGCGGGCCCAGTGCAAGCGTAACCAATAGACGGACACCCAGGGTACAATACAATACAATACAATACAATACAATACAATACAATACAATACAATACAATACAATACAATACAATACAATACAATACAATACAATACAATACAATACAATACAATACAATACAATACAATACAATACAATACAATACAATACAATACAATACAATACAATACAATACAATACAATACAATACAATACAATACAATACAATACAATACAATACAATACAATACAATACAATACAATACAATACAATACAATACAATACAATACAATACAATACAATACAATACAATACAATACAATACAATACAATACAATACAATACAATACAATACAATACAATACAATACAATACAATACAATACAATACAATACAATACAATACAATGCAATGCAATACAATACAATACAACCAAAAAGACAAAATGATAGACCAGCCAAGACCACTCAGCTACGTACTTATTCCCACACTTGACGACGCCGACACTGATGAGGATCACACTGGAGTCGTTCAACTAAATTCACGGTTCCCAAATTATTCAAACCAGACTTGACTACACGTGACAGGAAGACATACGTTTTTCATCCTGTTGATTGCGTGATCCATGCTAAACTTTTCTTGTGGTATTTTTAAATCTATTTCCCATAGATTGGTGAAGGATCCCCGCACGACTGAGTGTTTCGGTTTGCTATTAGCCAGTGAGTATATGGCGCACAAGCTGCCATTTGTTCTGGTATCGATTGTGTTTGTGGCATCAGGGTTACAGGTTACTGAACTGAACTGAACTGAACTGAGAACTGAACTGAACTGAACTGAACTGAACTGAACTGAACTGAACTGAACTGAACTGAACTGAACTGAACTGAACTGAACTGAACTGAACTGAACTGAACTGAAATAACTGACTCGACTCTACCACTTGAAAGAACTACTGGGACTGAACTAGCTTTTATAATATATTTTATTCGTTATATCCGCACTGCAAGGAATAAGATATCCTATTAAAAATACCTCTGGCCCTAGATAAATTCCCGCGATCTATGATTCACCGTGGTGATTATGGGCTTAGATAGAATCTTGCTTCGGAAACTGGCTCACAAACTGTCGAACAGAATGTCGCTGGAGGAACGCCTATTTTCAAGAAAAGAACGAGCGTAGTAGTGATGCCAGTGCCATGTTTACCTTGAACGTTCATACCGTAAAGTTCACTTGCTGCACGTTTATCTAGAAGCTATTTTGGGATGAAAGCGTTCAGGAGGTTCAACATCATCGTCATCATCGTCATTAGCATCATCATCCTTGCGTGCATTCAAATTTAATTGGAGGTTCTATTCATAGCAAAAATCAAAGTAGACGGGATAATCACTTAATGTTGGCCCACCACAATCATTCAATGCACACACAGCTCCAGATACCCACTCAGGCAATCCGATTCCAAATCGATAACAAGAACTCCACTAACATCGATTCAATGGCATAATTTGCAGCGTCTCCGAGCGGTCACTATGGGACTCATGCGATCTCCATCTAAGAGGGCAGTTTCACCATGATTATGATAGCATCGTTCATACACCTCTGGAAGTTAGGAGGTGAATCTGATCAGAAGGTCCGTGGGAAATTTCGGACATCCAACTAATGGTTTCATTATATTAGGGCTGCCGGATTCTCGTGAATGCCGAATTTCCATAAGCCTCTTTCATCCTTAAAAGCCAGTTTGGCTGTGGTTTTGTCGGTGATGACGGCGGTGATGGTGATATGTCATCGACAGCCTGAGCTGCCCATAAACTTTTCATCAACATTCTGATAGGAATTGCCGCACCACTGTAGCAAATTGTTTCTGAGTACGTTGCCGGCGAAAGGAAAATGTTTGGTTAGCTCTACGCAAGCTAAATCAAACTAGAGTTGAGACATACTACGTGTTGCACCGCATCTCTGCGGTTCAATGCTGGGATGAGTGGACAAGTTCACGTTGGGGAACCGTCAAACATTGCCGAGTAAGCCACATGCTGCGAGGTTTCCTGTACCTGAATGATAGCTGAATGAGCGCAGTGATCGTTGTGCTGTTCGATTGTTGAGGTTTTACTCGAATGCATCTTTCTCCTGGTCGCTCGTTGGCTAAGTGACGGTAGTTGGTCATTTCTTGAAAATCGTGTCTATCTTAGAACTGCTATCATTCGAAGGACCACGGAAAACACCCTTGTTCTTGGGTGATACTTCATCTATGTCCTTTCTAGATGAAACGGACTCCTGAACGATCCTAAAAGGGTGTTCCTGTTCTCATTTTATTAAGTTAATCAATTGGGTAGAATTGGTTCATGTTGTGGGTTGGATTAAATCGTGTGGCTGTCTGCACAATCCACCAGTGCAACTTGGCTCTAGAGGCAAAGGCTTTATTCGAAGACAACAAATGACCTCCTTTCAATATGTCGGTGACCCGCTATAAAAGCGGATACTACTGATGAAACATGCGACTAGTATACAGAATTCACGAAGCTCCGCACCGCATCTTATGGAAGGTGAATATTACTACGAAACTGGTTGAACAGCTTTAGGGTGTCCATTTGCAACCGCGTAATTCTCACTCTTTTGAGACTCTTGAGGATATCAAGTTTGAATGATTATGAGCATTTACTTGAGCATTTACTTTCGTGTTCCATAAATTTGTAGCGGACAAGGACCTAAGTATGCGTGTTCAATAAAATATACAATCAAAATATCGGATTAGAAATAACAAATGGCAATAAGAAATGGACAAGTGAATGGAACAGACTCACTAAATTGGGGGTCCAATAATCCCACTACACGAAATGTTGTGCAGTAATCGTATTCGGCGGCGAAGAATACATCCAGAGTAAGAAGGATATTCTCCACTGATAGTTCGAGTGTTAGGAGTAAATTCCACGGTAGGAAGTTATCACAGCTGAAAATTGTCACAAGGAGTTATTGTGACGTTCAACAGTTCACACACAAACACAATAATCCAATCCCACGACTTCAGCAAACAGCAATCAGTTCAATCGGATGCAATTTCACTGACTCAGCAAAAAGCAGGGAAGTCGCGCCAAGAAATTGTGTATTTCACCATTTTCGATTTTAATGTAATTATTGGTACAATAAAACAAAATGTCATGATACGTGTACAGTGTTTACAAATTGCAATTCAAGTTTATATGAAGAGAGTAGAAAATGGGGAAAATGTAACATTGATTTGCAAAACACCACAAATTCAACACCTTAGTTGGTGTTTGCGAATAAATGGCTTCGCGGTCAGGGAACTTCTTCCTTACACTGGTAGTGTCACAGCCGAGTTGGAAGCACGGATTGAACGCCTGCAGATAATATCATGCGATTTTCCACCCCTTAGATGAAGTTCAACCTTTTTTCGCAGGTTTTGATTGCGAAGAGAAATATTACGACATGTCCAAAACCACACGAGCTGTCAATATTTTTCTCCTGTTCTCATTGTGTAGAACGGTATCGCGCCTTACCTTCTACCACTATGTACCCATGCTCACAGGGATCGATTACGATCTGAAGGTTAACTAATATTTGACACTCACCAAACGGCCGAACAATACCAATTGGTCGTCACGGCATATCAACATCATCATCATCATCATCATCATCATCATCATCATCATCATCATCATCATCATCATCATCGGCGACACCCTGATATTATTGTTGAACACCAGCGGCGCGCTGCGGTAAAAACATGCTGCAGATAATAGCATGCAACATCGACCGCGAGTTGTGTCATCAACCCGACTAAATTGTCTGTTGTATACCGCAAAGCGAGTAAGCAGAAACGGCTACCACTGAGGACCTCCTTCTTTCCTTCTCTTTCATTTCTCCAGTATTTTCACTTTCGCGGTGGTAGCGTCGTCCACATAGACACGTTGCTAGTGTCTGAGTCCAAACAGCCTTAGATGCTACGAAATTGTTATTCAGTTCCTCTGTCAATCTTAAGAAAGCAGAGCAGCATTCTTGTTCGCTGAATACGCTTCTTTTTTTCCGAAATGATGATTGAATATCCCATCACTGTGGCTGTACTGATCTCTGCATGGGTTTGCCGCTCGTTGATCATTGCGCCCCTCTGGCAATCCGGGAGCCGCTACTGCTTGTTCTACTGGGGCTAGTATTTTTCTGGGCCAGCAAGGGTTTCTCATTGAGTGATATACCGCACTGACGAAAGCTTTTTCCGGCGCCTTGATGAATAAACTAGAAAACAACAAGCTCGTATTATGTTGTGGTTGTCGAGGACATGAATGCACAAGTAAGCAGAATTAGCGCTTCCGCGACTCAGTTGGGTGGGTCCAGGAGAGGAGTCGAAATGCACGGACAGCGGCAAACCCTCGTGACAGTTACGCGTTGAAGACGGGCGGGAGTAACTCCAGAGCAACTGAATCCGCTCCATTAATCAAACCAAAAAACTGTAAAACCGACAGACCAAATCGATGTTTGCTATATATGACGACGCTCTTTCTGGAGCGTCTGTGTAAACCCGGGTCAAACCAATTTTTGTCGCTGATTCATGTTGCACGATTATTATACTCAAATGATATGCACACCTCAGCTGACCGTTGCGAAACCTTCGAAACCTTATACTAAACAAGCCTACCAGATCCACCGTCGATGTCCCCCTCGGACGCGGGGACTTATGACGTTGACGCCTTCCGGAAAGTGCTGTCGGCAAGATGCTGGGACACTCAGCTTGTGGAATGGTGCAACAAACTAGATGCAAGTATTGGATCACGGAACACACTTTGCAGTTCTTCGAAATTCGCACAGGATTTTCCCCGAGAAGGAGATACAATATCACCTTAACGAAAAGTCAGACTTACGAAAACAAACATGGGCACCTATCCACCGCCTTTTGCAGTGGAACATTAGGGTCATGGAGAAACTTTAGTAGGAGGCAACTGTTTGGGGCACCATAAGTGCAAATATCCACCGTGATAGTCCTTTCGTGTGGAATTTAGAATGAACGGTTGAGCACCAAACCAATGAAAATCCAACTGAAACATGCTTGTGCCTGGAAGTTTATGGTTTGTGCCTCTGGTGAGTTGAACTTTGCCCTACATATGTATGGCGATGGTGTGAAAAAGCTATTCACCACAAAGTTAATAGGACTGCGGTACAAAGTGTATGAAAACCAGGGTATGATCTGCATGTTGATCAGCTTGTTCAATGACTGATAGTTTGCGTAAACGTTTTAAAACAATTGTGCACATTGGTGGTCCGTGATATTTTCCAGGACAAATATGGATGATTTCATTGCTCGCCTATTCGCGTCAGACCTTACTGAGTAGAAAAGTGAGTTCGTAAAACGGTTTCACCTAGCGGCTGTCTTCGTAAGCACTTTTACTGAAAACTTTGGTTCATTGAGGCATTAAATCGGGTTTTGTATTAAAATTTCATAGTGACAATGTGTATTCGGTACATTTGTGTTTGCAATGTGTCGGGATAAAGTTGAGAAACTAACAGGACGCAAAAGGGAACCTCCTCAACAGCTAAGTATTACTCTATGCGTAAATCGATGATTTGACGACGCTTCTGGTGTACTTAAGTGGGCGAAACCGAAGGTCACGCGAAGCTTTGAACAAAGGAATTTACACCCCTCTTTGCATGAAATTAAAATAGGCTTGGAAGTAGAAGGACTATCTCAAGTAAGCAGAAAGTTGTTCGGATATCTTTTACCACATTTTGTGATCTTTATTTTCAATTTTCGGAATCGATGGTGCTACCAGCAAGCTTTTTCCCCATGAAATGTAGATAAAACTTCACAAGCCATCCATACTGAAACTACATGGAAGATTTATTATTAGTTCTCGTTTTTATTAAACTACACTCTAGAATTTAGAATGCTCACCTGAAAATGTGAAGCATTTTGAATTTTGGGCGTCTGAAGGTGACCTGAGTTTATGTGCGTTGGTTTTCACGACTTCGAGTAAGTAGTGGACTCATCAATTTGCGTTGCATTACTCACTTGAGTTCGCACGTCCAATCACAACAGCAACAGAGTTAAAGATAATCTTCTGAAATTCAAAGCGATAAAATAGCAGTTTTCATATCGAGAACATAAGGAACATAGTAATGATTTAGCCGCAGCACCGTTTTCGTATTCAGCCTCCATACCGCTCGAGGAAAGATCAAGCGCCGAGCGATCGCCGGATCGCTCAAGCCCAGACAAGAGTAGCCGACATGCCGTGGCTGGATTCGAAACAAGGTCAGTGATTTCTAGCCCTAATTAATGAATAATCCTGAGCTCCCAAGCAAACTTGAACTTTCGGAGGAAATTTTCTACAGATGGGATGAAATCTAACCTTTTGTTTCGAAGGTTCGGTTAGTAAGTGGAAAAAATTATTACAGGTTCAAAACCACACAAGTTTGCAATGCATTTCTCATGTTCTGATCCCACAGAACGGTATCGCTTATCTCTACTTTTCACTTTGTGCCCATGCGAACTAGACTTGTTAATGACCTAAATGATCGCTTATATTTGACATTCAACGGAAGTTCAACCACTAATTAATCTTGAGATAACGAGCAAAACACAACAAAACCAATTATGCTTCGTCGTCGTGGGATAACATCACATCACCGACATCATTATCATCGTCATCATCATCATCGTCATCATCATCATCATCGTCAACATCATCATCATCCATATCATCGTCCACGACAGCATGACATCAATGATGAACACTGATGATTCGCTGTTGAAAAACCGCAAATTATTTGACAGCCATAGACTATGGTTGGCTCGTCGGGGAAACACATAAGTCCACGCCGAATTTGTTGCCAGTGTCCTCTGGTCAATCAAGATTTTAGCGTGGTTCTGCGTCTTTGTATGCAATGGGGTCTGATTTTCTGATACATAGCAAATACGGTTCATTTGGAGCAATAGTGTTTTTGTTCACAGCTCCAGCCTTAAATCCGTTATGGCTGTGAATATTGAGGTCATGTTGGTTTGCCGGGCCACTGGGGGAAATCAGGTGATTCGGTCTTTTCTCATCATCGCCATGATCATTATTAATGTCAGCGCTGAATATGTGCTCATGTTGTCGCTCTTCGGGCAGTCACCGTTGGTAAACATCACGTTGCGTCGTTTCAGCGCAATGAGAACTAGATTACTCATGCAATCCTATTGTTTTATCGTGCATCAGACTCGCTCCAAAGTGCCGTTAGCAGATTACGCAGTATTGCAACATCTGATATCATCCTGTCTTCTGCCCCATATATTTTGCAGCGGTTCGGCCGTGGAACGGTTGATAAAATCAAGTGACGTTGAAAAATTCACGGGGACATCGTGAATGTCAAATCTTTGTGATTATGGAGAGGCTTTTGTTTGGTGACAGGTTTACCCCAACAACGTCCGTATTTATGGTTCCAGTAGACCAATATGTGTAAAGGTCAAATTTACCTCATTCCGTGCTCCATTATAATACTGGAGATCCTGAGTGCACGGGTGGGCAACAGACTACAGATATCGGTGGTGGGCTTGAGGTGAACACATTAGGCATTATTTCACAATAAGTTGATAAGCCGGATTCCCAATTGAGTAAAGCAAATTTTTCTGACTAACGCATGAAAGCTCCACTTGAGGTGATTGTGTACATACTAAGCACACATTTCGTAAATCCAGAACTCGGACATAGAAAACTAGTTTTCTGGCTATGATCAGCAAGTGCAGCAAGAATGTCAGCTTTCGTGCAAACCCACCTTTTCAGCACCTTCTTCCCTCTTCTCTCAAGTTTCTTATCGCCTTTCAGTACTCCCTCGAACATTTTCGGATTGACATCCTTAAACAGATAAACACGCATGATCCATCATTCATGCGACAATGGTGTTTTCAATAATTATTATATCTTAGTGGGTATCCATTTGCAGTTTAACAAAAAGTTGAAATCTATAATCTAATGCCTATCATCACTTCGATGAAATTCACAGCGTTCGCAGAATGCTGGAAAAGAGAAATTTGGTTGTTAATGTGCTTGTACAGAATGGCAGTTGGATTGCGTAGCTAGCCGATCCTGCATAAGGATGAGCTCAAATTGGAGCCAATAAAAGTTGTTTGCTAATAGCGCATCCAGGAAGCGCCACAATTTCAAGAAGATAGTCGCCGCACACAGTTCACAAACCACGCGCTGCATCTAATTGCGGGTACTGATACACGCTTGGGGGTTCTTTTGAAAAGAACACTGGCTTAGAAGTCTCAAATCGAGAACTTCGCTTCAAAAATGGCGTTATTGCATGAAAGCCCACCTCATGGCCTACAAGCAAAGTTTAACCTCGGTCCTGGACTTCTCGAGAGTTCTCTATAATCTTACGACTAGTGTTCGCTCAAGTTAATTTATTATTATTTATATAATAAACCTGATCAGTCCGCCCTACGGTTAATATTGTGTTTTCATACACACGGTCATGTTAATTGCACCTTGTGTTACACGGTGAAATGACGGAGCAATCCATCCGGTTGCTGTGTACCGGAACACCGGAACATACCTTTCCACGGTAGTCAATTACCACACCGTGATACGCATCTTCGTACTTGTAGTCATGGAACACTCTGCCTTTAAACGGATTGCTGGAATAAGGAAATGAATGTTGGCGTTTGGTTTGTTAGAGAAATTAACATTTAGATCGAATAGAGAGAAGTGAAAGTATCGTAAATTCTGTTTTCCGTTGGTCCCCGGGTTTGATGACCAACAAATACTTAAGACGATGAGGGTCCCTTGTGGCACGCTTTCGATGACAAACTAGCCTTAAAGCAGTGATGATGTAGAGATCCGACAGTGATGCAGGTAAATACATAACAACGAACAGAGACAAACTGTGNAAAATGGTCGGTGCACTCGTCGTCACTGAGTGAGAATTACAGTGTCGAGGGGATTGTCCACTGATCTGCCCTCATAACGCTGGT